TACATACACACAAATTAATACACACTGTGGTGTATTATACATACACACTGTATAATGTCATTCATCTACTGGTTCTAATTTATCTGGTCCTAATATTATAGTTTGAGAGCAAAGTCTGATTTCTTAACCTTGTAAATCAGTGTTTTTAAGGTCAGTTGGTCATCACAGGTAAACTTCAGTTCTTTTGATTTACAATATCAAACTATCAATTTATTAATTTCCAATTCTGAAAAGGTCTAATATAATTTGTACATAGGTTATACATACATACACACACATATACAGACCCACACACACATACATACATGTGTTGTTACACTGAAAGAATAACTATATCATTTTTGAGCAGGTGAGAGTTATTCAAAAGAAACACAAAAGGAGTGTCATTATGGCTTATGAAAATAAAGGACTTGCTTATTTTCTACAATTTATCAGAAGTAGGGAATGGAAAATACCCCTGCAACAAATTATCAATATAAAAACCTAAACCATCCTCTGCTCCAGCGCTGAAAGAGAATTGCCCCACATAGAGAACTTGTTATACTGTACAGTCAAATTATGTCACTCTGAACTTCTGTGTTTCCACACTTTCACCAGGGTGATTTCCAGTCCCATCAACAACAACAATAAAATTACATTTATATAGCGCCTTTCACGTTGGGAGGACGTCCCAAGGCCCTGATAATTAAATACAAAATAGTTTCATAATTAAATACAAAAGGTGATAGGGTATTACTAGCCACAAATACATGAAAGAAAAGGATTATACTAAATCCATTGATGCTACATTAAAAAAAACCTTTAAAATATAGTTCAAATCTGTAGTATGTTGCAGCTAGAAATTTGAAGATTACAAGATGTTTTTGATCAGTCGGGTGGGTGTCTAACACGTGCGGAAACCCATCACCGTTGCTTAAGAGTCTCCAAACCAAGCTGAGAATTCCAAGCCTCCCATTTACACATGGAAATCCCACAGAGAGATTAACTTAATAGACACTTGACCATATCAACTTACTTAGGTGTAATAAAATGTTTAACTCAAAGATATATTTTGTGTGAAGCTTAAATCATTACACTTTGAGCTATATTTTAAAGTCTATTTTTTATGTAACCATAAGTTGACTTCTTCACACCTTAATATGCCTGTCTTTTATTTAAAGGCAAATTTAGTTGTTTATTTTTACAAAAATGACTGATAAAATTTCTAATTTCAGTCCTTAAATAAAAGCTGCAAAATTCCTTTGAACATTTACATTCTGTGTGCTGCACTGCACACATATATTGTATCTTACGGTCATATGATTGTTCCTCATCATATCATTGTAAAACCATCTCTCCCCCCTCCACCTCTCCCCAAAATAAAAATAAATGTAAAGTTTAGTTAAAAAAACACAGGGCAAAGTCTTTGAACAATCTGCACAACTCAAATCAGTCTCCCTCTCTCATTCTCTCTCTGTCTCTGTGAAATATGCTGGTACTTGTCTCTCTCTCTGTGACTTTAATGGTTAAGAAATTCCTATCACAGGGAGTAATAAAGCTTACAGTCTGCAGACCTGCAAATTGTGTTATAACAGTGATAGTTCTGCTGACAGTTTTGAGTTGGAAGAGCCAGCAGCGAGCCTCTGCTCCCACCTGTTAGGATTAGATTGAAGTATATTGTCAAAGCATCGCAAACCTGCTTACTTTAACACGGCATTTTATAATAATAATCCGTGCATTTGATACAGCACTATCACGTCTTTCAGATGTCTCAAAGCGCTTCACAGAATATACTGTAAAGTGAATTAACTGTATTTCATAGGAGAAATATATATAGGGACATTCACATCATAAAGAGCATCATTCTGTGAAATGCCATGTTTGCTAAGCAAGACCACAAAGCAAGCGATATTAATCAGTGCCTTAAGAATGCAAAGCAGTCCTGAAAGAGCTTTAAACACTCACGTAGGCATGTTTTCATGTCGTGTGCTAAACAGGTTTGTCATATACAGTATTATATTATGCGATTTTTAAAAAATCTGTATAGCATTTGGTCAAAATGAATGTTCGACATTTTGGCGACACTGTAACCTACTTAAAAAAACGCTTTGTTTCGGGTGAAATATACAGTACTTTCATATTCTGTATAGAAGTATAGGAACTGGATTTGGAATCATTAGTTTGTGTTTCTCGTTACTCGAGATGCCACTCAGGATGAAGGGCGCAATATGAATGCAAGTGGTTGTTGTTGCTGCTGTTGTTGTTACCCACAGCACCAATATTTTACAATCAAGACACAATTTATCTCTTATAGTCTGCTGGTTTGTCTTAAGTAGTGAAATGTGTATTCGTTTATACTAGGAAAGATTTATCAATATATTCAGCCTGTACATTTTACAAGTCCTTTTCTGATTTTGCTTTAGATTACTGTACACTTATTTACACAAGATTTTTTTTGCACCATTTACAATTGTATTCAATATGCTACATTGAATCAAGGTTTAATTTAATTTCATTTATTTAAAATAATGAACATTGATTTGTTTGCTTCTGATAGATATAACTTAAATATCAATTGCAATTTGAATGTAACAATATTTTAAGCATTACAGTGCCAACACAGCGGTGGGGACATCAGTGATTACTGTTTAAAAACGAAACCTTCACGTGTCATATCTTCAAAGCTGTGACGGTGAGAGCTCTGGGGATTGGGGCTATTTCCTTCCCCACAGCCCACACTGCAGGCAACTATTATAACAACAATAATCCTCGCATTTGATATAATGACTTATCACGTCTTTGAGACATCTCAAAGCGCTTCACAGAAATAGACTGTAAAGTGAATTGACTGTGTATTTTATGGGCGAAACGCAGCAGCCAATTGCGCACAGCAGTGTCCCAGTCGTGGATTGAGTGACCAAATTATTATTTTTATTTATTTTGAAGGGATTATTACTTCAGACCATCAATTTCAGTCTTATTTGGGAATGAGATTTATATATTGTATTTTAAAATCTTATCAAAATTAAGGACTTTATACGTTGGATTGTATTTTTTAAATTACATCTGTGGCACATTTCCCCCTATAAGTTCTTGCAAAAATGTGATGAGTTAAAAGTTTGCGACAAGGTGGTGACTGGTACTGATATCAAAAATCACTAATTAACATATATAAAAAAAAGTCTTTGGTTCTAAAAGAACTAATTACAAAGTATTATTTCCATTGTTGAAACCCTATGTGTTCCAGTTAGAATATGTCATATCTAGTGGTGATGCTATGATGATAAAAAAAACTCCCTCATAAGGTCAACCAACCTTCTATCACTTTGTTGCTCTCGATTTATCTCGACAACCACTTCTATAGAATATTCCTACTGGTGATGGAGTTACAGAATATCCCTTATTTACACCAGATGTAATGACAACAGATGGAGTTTGTGGATACTGTCATTTGACATTTACAATGATACATAAACACATAAAAAAGCTAGTTACAACTTAATACTATCGAGAATTATAATTGCCAAAGCTTCTAGCACTGAGCAGAATACACCATTTATTTCTACTTAAGAGGAAAGTCTTGTGATTTCACTGCACGAGACTTACAAATAAATTTTAAAAAAATAATTTGGTTACTCAATCCACAACTTTTTGTGCCAATCAGCTGCCACGTTTCACCCACAAAATATAGTCAATTCACTTTACAGTGTACCCTGTGAAGCGCTTTGAGACGTCTCAAAGACGTGATAAGGCGCTGTATCAAATGCAAGGATTATTATTATAACATTATCTTATTTGTGGAATAAATCGGATGTTTCGCTTGGGTTTATGTGGTCGTTCTAATATGTGCCTTTGGCATCGCCATTGGGGTAATAATCAGAGTATACTGATCCCGTGTCATACCTCTTCTCTTGACTCAGATGCCTGGGAATACCTGCCCACCCACTATAATGGCTGCAGGTGATATATGACCTGAGAGAAAATAGGTGGATTTCAAATCCTTCAAAAAGAAAGCAAACCAGTCATTTCACAATATTTAACATTGCTTTAGACAAACTACATTCAATTACATACAGAAGCACATATACTTTAAACAATTACCATTCAATATCACTAATACAACATTTATTGCACATTTCATGGTGATGTATTATCCTCACAAATTTTCCCTTTTCATTAAGGAGATTTATCTTGGCCATCAAGCTGTTTGACATACCCATCACCATGCTTAAGAGTCACCAGACCAGATGGAACTCCGCATGTACTTCAAGTAGATAATGCCCATTAATATACTTAAGAAACAATTTATAAACTGGTTTCAAGTTATTGAAGTGAGAGTTAGCTTCCACGTGTATGCTGATGATATTTAATTCTACTTCTTTGCCTCTAACCTTAAGTGCTCTGGGACACTATCCTGCATGAGGGGTGCTATACAAATGCAAGTTGTTGTTGTTGTTGTTGGGTGAGGGTGACCGAAGGGGCGGTCAAAGAGAAGGGTCTTGAGACATGCCTTAAAGGAGGCAAAGGAGGGACCAAGGCATATGGACTATGCAATGAATTTCCAAAGAATGGGGGCAGAGAGGCTGAAGGCCTGACCACCGATGGTACAGCAAGTTTATTTCCTGAGGTTACATTTGAGGCATATTGTTAGAGCAGAGAAACATGTTACTTGACTTGGGAATACAGGACCTGAAGGTGTTCCTGGTGGGATGATATCTGTGATGTTTCTTATCTGGATGGACAGAAATGTCACCAAAATGTGTTCCTTTGAAAAAAAACTACCCACCAGGAATAATTTAAAGAAGAAAAACCTGATTGCAAGATGATATAATTATCACACTTAGGTTCCCAATCGTTTCTCATTATGCAGAGAAAATCAGTACATTATATTATACTGAACGAAGAATAGTGCTTACTGCAAGATTGGTCGTTTTTGCATGAAAATGAATGAGCTAGAATTAGAACACATTCCTGATCAGCAACTGAGAAACAGAGAGACAACGCGATGCTGTAAACTGTGATGAATGTTCACTCAGCAATAGCTTTAGCCACAACACAATGCTGGTGAAGCGCTGAAGCATTGCATAATTTTATTTGTTTCTGAGCAGTCAACCCTAACATAGTCACAAATAATACAAAGCATCTATTTCTTGCGTTAAAAAATATATGCAACCACTTGACAATAATAATTAAAGTGGGTGAAAATCTTTACAATGCAGGCTTTGGTCATCAGATGACCTCATGATATTTACAGTCCTATATAATCTTCAGGCTAAAAGTGGCTGTTGGGTAACATTACGCTTGCATGTTAGGGCAGCCAGCTTCTTTATCTCATCGTGGAATTGTACAAGTATTAAAATCCATTTTTAGCACCATCCTTAAAGTGTGAATTAAGATGCCTGAGGAAATCTTCCTTAGATTTAGTGCCTGCTGGGAAGACCTTATGACAGAATTCACAGATTTTGGAGTTTGATTCCAGGTCAGAGTTTCCAGCTCCTTGAGGCAGTATACCATCTTTATTGTGGTGAGGAGTCCACAGAGTCTACAAGGGAGGGAGAGAGAGAGGGAGAGAGAGAAGAGACATTTTCATTAGTGAATGTGCTGTGTAAATGAAAAACACACCATATGCCTGTAAAAGTCAGATTATAATACAACAGCTTTAGTGGAATAATCAACCCTTATGGCAGTCTGGAAAAAGATATTCTGTTCAATCATTCATCTAGACGGCATAGGAAACCAGCATGTTATAAGACTGTAAAATAAAAAAGCAAAATGATTTGGATATGTCAAGTCCAAAATATGATTTTTAAATGAAAGGTGTTTGTTCAGGAGTTTTACTAAAAACACAAAAAATATAAATAACTCACATAACTGGACCAGCAAGCTTCTATTTCATGATTAAGGTCTGGGCAATTTTTATAATTTAATATTTAACATTTATATTCAATACATATAATAATCCTTGCAGTTGATATAGCGCTTTTCACATCTCAAAGCGCTTCACAGAATATACTGAAAAGTGAATTGACTGTACATGTGTGGGCAAAACGCAGCAGCCAATTGCACACAGCAGCGTCCCACAAACAGTCGTGGATTGAAAATGACCAAATTATTATTGTTTTTTTCTTGAGGGATTATTATCAGGGGTGTGGAGTAAGGAAACTTGCCCAAGGTTTCACCTACCGGGATTAAACCCAGGTCTCTTGCTTGTGAGGCGAGTGCTCTAACCACTGAGCTACAGGACTCCACAAACACACACACACACACATTTTAATACATAGCAATACTTTAGAATATAATCAGATTTACAGAACATTCATCTCAACACACTTTTTGTCTACTTTTCCAGTCATTGTGAAGCAGAATTCACCCAAAGTTGGGATCGTTCATGCGCTATAATAGGGGATGTGAATTCAGTTTTAACCATCGTGAACGAGGCAGGCTGACTTTACCCTAATGATGTGCTGTTACAATAATTTATGACCATAAATTAGTATATAGGGTGACAAAGCTAAAGCTAAAAAAAACTATGGGACTGACGAAGGGAAAAGTACTAGATTGGAATGGACTTTTTTTTAATTTTCCCCTCTCTTCCTCACCTTGTTTGTGAGACACCTCACAATGCTACCGCATTTCGCCCACAAAATATACCGTCAATTCACTTTGCAGTATATTCTGTGAAGGCACTAAATCAAATGCAAGGATTATTATTATTGAAAATTATTGATTTTCGGTGAAGGACAGACGTGTAGAAACACCTTAGCCAAGTAGCCACTCTCTGTGTGTGAGCAGGACAATAGTTGTCAGCAGGATAGTCGACCCCTATTTGACCATGGAGACCAACAACTGAGTCCAATCCTGTCATCACCAAATGTGTACACACCCACTTTCTACTGGGGTGTTCGGGGATGATGATTGGGAGAGAGAGCCCTGGTTGAATTTTCTCTGCCTTAGCCCAGGACAGAAAAGGCAATATAGACACCCCAATTATCACCCTGGCTGAGATCAATTAACCCAGCTCTGACCAGATCTAAACGTGTTCAACAATTCTTTAAAGTTTGGTTTTGAAACCTGAGCTAACGCATGCTAAACGCAGAGCTGGGTCAGAAACCAATGCATATTAATATCCTAATTTTAAGTGTAATAGCACCACTTCCTGTTGCTAATAAACAGTTTGCTTGATGTATGTAACTAGCAGTTGGTGCAAATTGCATATTAACTCTGCTTAGGTGTAGAGAACATTTATCTGGAGCGACTGGAACATATGTATTTGCTAAATACTGTACGTGACAGAATATAAAACACAGGTTGGAAACACTCCCATGGGATACCATTTATAAGTGGAGCTCACACTGCAACCAAACCAACAATTCTTATCTGGACTGACTTGTACTGCTTTTGTAATACACCTTTTACACCAGTGATAAACCGATGTTTTATTATCACAAATGTTTCATAATCACAGCACAAAAATCACTGTATATCACTGCTTCTGTAGAGTTGGTGTTGGGGGAAACACACAGCACCTCCTGGAGGTTGGCAGCTTATTTCATCTTGTACCAGAGTAGTTCAATTTGCTGTTGATACGAAGTTCAAGTTTTTAAATTCAACAAATACTTACTATATATATATATATAAAGAGAGAGATATACCGAGATATTATTTCCTCACAGAAATCTATCTAATTTGTTCTTGAAAGAATCAACACTTTCTGCTTCCACCATCTCCCTTGGACGTCTGTTCCATACATTTACTGCTCGCTCACTGAAGTGGTGTTTCCACCAGATTTGTTCTGAATTTACCCCCTTCAATCGCAGGCCATTCTTATATTGCTATCTTCCAACTGCTCTCAATTGAGAAGAGCTGCCTGTTTAGTTTTTGTTTAATGGGGGAAAGGACCCAGCTCACCAGACCAGTCTGTTGGGTGCTGGGCAGACATTGGAATCTGCTACTCTGCTTTCTCTCATTGCAGTTATTTGAATGAGGAGTGAAATTTTCACTAATTGCTCATATTCCTGCTGAATAGTGGTTATTAAAAAGACCATATCAATGTACCTAAACAATGTCAGGATAATGTGTCATACTCCTGCTGACGAGAAAGGCGCTATATAATGTAATTTATATTACAGAGCCTTGGGACGTCCTCCTGACGTGAAAGACGCTCTATAAATGGAATTTTGTTGTTGTTGTTGTAATTTGTTGTTGTTGTTAGCAAATGGGACAGTTGGATCAATCGTCTTCTCATTAATACTTCAACTCTCAGACAAAGGCAACACTGCAGTGACTTGGCTTGTATCCTCAACAAGGACCATTCAGTTTTGTTGTCAATGATAAAACCTGTAGCACCAGTGGGTTTGATATCATGAAGTTGATGAGGACATCTAAATCTTAAGAGAATATTTAATTGTCACGCACTTCAGGTCTGTTTGTAGGGCATTACTGTGCACAAATTGGCTGCCGCAATTGCTTTAAAAAAAGTTACTACACCTTACAGTATATCCTGTGAAATGTTTCAAGACATCTTCCCAACGTGGAAGGCGCTCCATCAAATGTAAGGATTTATTAAATATAATCAGCCAATTCAAAGCAAAATGTTCCCAAATAATATTTGTGATTTACAGTTCTGATTGAAAATTAGAATGTTTTGACAATTGAACCCCAATCAACACACGTGGTTACATTAATCTTCCCGATCGTGTCCAAGTACTGTGTAACGTGTGTGTTTTGCACGAAATTGTTGTGTCTGTCCCTGTTCTTCTCCCCATACCACAATTAGCAACTTTAGAGCTGGAGCAATTTTAGCAAAGGCAGAATTATGGGCAGAGATGGAGCAGACTGCGCACTCGATAACCACATACATACATCAACTACTATCGTTTATGAAATACTTTTGAAAAAAGATATCAATTGAAAGAAGACGCACCAGACATTGTTTTTTGTAATCACTGCTGCAAGCACCCTGACTGCCTGCCCCATTGAACGCAACAGCTATTTCTTCCCTTATATTTTTAAAACGTCATGCCTCCTCATAACATATAATTATATACCAGCTGCTACATTTGCTTCTGTACGGTTTTGCACTGTACAGAGCAGGGTGCCATCTACCGAAAATAGATACTCAGATAACTAGTAAAAGAACAATCCAATGAGATAATAGGAAAAGGCATTAGTAACAAGTAATGTGATAGAGTGTGTGTGTTTCACAGCTCCACAGGGCTTCTAAGTAATAGAGGAAATAGTGTAATTTGTTTTTGCTAAATCTCTTACAACAGCATCGGTGATAAACATGATGCAAAAGAATTAATATATTGTACTGTCTATACAACAAGACTAGACGCTGGGGCCTAACACATTGTAGAAATCTATGGACAATACTTTACATATTTCTGTTATGAGAATGGCAAAAAAGTTGGTTTAGTTTTTCCTGTGTTCATGATTATTGCAATAATTATATTTCTAGTTTATTTACATAATACAAATGTGAGTGAAGTTAATTTAATCAGATTTATGATTGCAAACATAAATACAAACATCACTTGGGTAGAAGCAAATTACTTTCCCTACAAATTACTACACAGGCAGACTGCAAAATTCCCAAAGGCAGTATACACACACACACACACATTTATGCTTCAATACTCATTGCATGTGAGTTCCAATCCTTTAAAACAAATTAAATAACGTCCATCAATACGTAGCACAGAAAATGCACTTTTATACAAAAATTGGAATATCAAAGCGTGGAAAGAGTATTGTAGAGAAATCAGCAGGGAAATTCATCTCATCATATTCCTTTTGTTCACAAGTATTCTATAAATATTATTAAATTTAATCATGATTATATTTATGGTTAAGTATATTATTATAAATAAACTTATGATTTAATAAAGCTGTGCAGAAAGTTAGCCAGATCAAAACACGAGACATGAGAACAAGTCACGTGACTTGAGAACACACGAGTGCGTGAGTTTTATAAAACTTGAGGGGAATTATTGGTGAAGAAATTTCTGTGATTGAAGAGTTTGGTTTGAAAGGGCGTATTATAATTTTATTAAAATTGTGGCAGTATTGTAAACTTAATATATACTTAAGTCTAGAAATTTGGATTTATGAAACCATCGGTCCCTACTCTTTCAATAATATTCTCCTCTTCTCTTTAAATTTCAGGCACCATTTCACACACGAGAGAGTGGGTGGGCAATCTGCTTCCCAAATCTTTTCCAATGTCGTTCTGTTACTAGCCATGGGGAGAGACGTGGCATTGACCCAAAGTGACTCTGCCATCATTTGTTTCCCTCTCTGTGAACAAGCATCTTGCCTTCATTGAACTCTGTTGGACAGCACATCCAACCACGATCAGCAATCATTCCATTGCTGTGAATAATTTAATACTGTTTTACTTTGATGTTTCATTGCATTGACTATCTGCATTTGTTAAATCACTATACATAAACTGATGTTAATTCAGTGAATTTGTTATGAAATAATGCTATTTTTCCAGAGACGACATTCGCAAACAAAATAATAATCCTTGATATGGTACCTATACGTTTCAAAACTCTGCACAGATAATTACTGTTAGGTGCAGTTACATTGTATTAATAGACAAACTGGTGTAAATTGGTCAGCATTTTATAGCAATAACTTCCCTTCTATCACACACACACAGATTTACGTTTATATTGAAATGATATAGTTTCTAAGGTGGCCTAAATTCACTTTCTGCTTTAACAGAGGCTAGATTTAACATAAAGACAATCTTTGTGGGGGGGAGGGGGGTAACCTTACCTTTTGTGGCCCTCTGATCTCTGTTGGTGATGACTGAAACACCTTATGGGACTCTTCAATGTTTCGGAAAGGTTTATGGGCAGGACCTGCCGGGTTCCTGAATGGACTGTTGTCGTCTTTCACATACGTCAAAACGGTGAAATTTGTGGAGGGTTTTTGCTCATCACAAAAAGCGTTCTGTGCTGCCTCAGTGGTGGGCTCCTCAGGAGATGTTTCCAGTGAAGTGCATTCTGGCTTATTAAACTTCTTGCAGGCCATGTCCTGAACCGTGTCTTTCAACACTGCCTTTTCAACTGTATCACCAGGGCCTTCAAAAGCAGGCTTTGTTTGAGGTTTCTCTGCAGCACTGTTTAGGAACTCATAGTCACCATCAGAGGGTGGAAACTTGATGTTCAGTTCAGACAAGGACTGAACAACCGGAAGTTGATTCTGGTACACACCAGATCCTTGCGCTGTTGAAGGGCCTTTACATACTTTCTTGCCTTCTTTCCCAATGCAAGGTCCTTCTGCCTGTTCATGTGCTCCTTCATCAGTGCATTGTATAGGTATCGAGAAATCTAAATCTAAAATAAAGAAGAGCGTCAGCAAAAACAAAAGAAGAAACTTTGTCTACCAATACAACTGAAACTAATACTGAAGGACAGAATGGAAATCAGCGAACGTTTAAGGGTATAATGTTCACGCAATTTATAGTCTGCAGCTTAAAAGTCAAGACTACACGGCATTAATAAACAGATAATAATAAATAATAATCTTTGCACTTTGCATTTATGTATTATTGTTGAAATATCTCAAAATGCTTCACAGAATTTACTGCAAAGTGTAGTGACTGTGCATTCTGTTGGCAAACGTGGAAGCCAATTTGTACACAGCATTGCCCTACAAACAGCCAAGGAGCTCACCTGGGAATTGTTGGCCAAGACACCAGAAGAAACTCCATCACGTCTTGCTTACATAAACCCATCATTATAAGCAGAGGAGTTATACTGAATTATTTTTACTTTTCACATAGAGGGAAACATCCATAGCAAGATAAGCACTGAATGTATCATTTCTATTTTTTAAATTGTTTGTTAAAATAAAGTGAAGATAAAGTGTACATTTGATCAGCCAGTGATAGACTGAAATGAAGAGAGAGCAACACTACATAATTGAAGGAAGTGCTTTGGCATTCTCTGATCGACGTGCAGAATGAGAAAGACAAAGACAGCTGCCTTCTGACAACCCTGCTGCCAATGTCAACAGAGCAACATAGTGTGGGGCAGGACAACAGGTTCACACGGGCAACCTTCACATGCTTAGTCCCCGATCTCAGCCTGTTGCTGTGGAAAGGGATTGAAGGGGAATCAAGCTCCTCCTCACAAGCAAAGAGAAATACCTCTAGCAGGTCGTTTCACAGCAACACTGGTCAAGGCAGGCCTGGGAGCAGCTTGTCTGCCTGTTAGCAAGGCTGAGTTTAGGTGACCCAAGAAAGCAGAAGGAAGCTGGGTCAGGGGATATGGGGCAACGGCGGATATTTGGAGTTGGGGTACAAATCAGCCACAATCTAATAGAATGGAGGAACAGGCTTGAGGGGCTGAATGGCCTACTCCTGTTCCTATGCTTTCCTATGGCACAGTTGGGCTATTTAGCATGTGGTCAGTGCTGGGATAGCCAATTCTATCTCATTCTACAATGAATGTGATGATCTGTCAGAGTGGCAGTAGAAGTGCTATGATTGCCCTCAGAGCACTAGATTAAGGGCAAATTAAATTTCCAATTACAACTATCGAACACTAAACAATGAATCCACAAGATTGGGCTGTTTTGCTCTTCATAGTTGAATAGCTTTACTTACACAAATAGTCCATCAACCCTGACACCCATAGAGCCAGCAAATACTTGCAGGAGAGGGGAGAAAATCAGGAAGGAACAACAACAAAATCAAAGTATCCCTTTGATTTGTGATGAATTATTTGAAAAAGATATGAAATATTTGCCAATCCCTACCTAGCTCACCATCTTGAAATACAGCCTCAAGTCCCCGTGTTCTTGATTATTTCCAGTTTAGAGTGATTTTAAACTAAAGCTATTCCTTTGTTTAAAAACAAACCTACAAAAATTCCATTTAGCTTCTGGCAAACTGGTTAATATTCCCAAATCCTGCTGTATAACAGTGGGATTATATTGATTACCATCCAAGAACTCCCACATGGCAGGTTTTAGGTTGACTGTGCCGTCAGAGGATGTGGCAAGCTCAGGCTGGCACCTCACCATAGACAGGAAACCCTGGAGGGTAAATTACACTGGACTCTTCACACACCTTCCAATAGTCAATGAAGGCAAAACCAGTAAAATAGATGCTTTGCCAAACACTCAACAAGGGAATGGCACACAGCCTTCTAAGGCCTGTAAAGGGGGAGGGAAAAATACATTTAAAAAAAGTTTTCAGCAAGTGAGCAGTGTAACTCCCCTGTCAAAAAAATGTTGATGTTGAATTGAGGACTTCAGTTGAGAATCTTTAACATATGTTTTAGGGTCACAAGAGAAGCATATTTAACTTAAACGAGCTTTAATTCAGCAATACTCATTATCTGATTTTTTTCTTCCTAATTCAGTTTATCCGTCACTTTCTCTTTTTTCATTTTACAATGGGAACAGCATTGTGTGGAAAATATTTCATCAATAGCTCAAAATATAAATTTAAAAATAAATCATGAAAATGAAGAGCTTATAGAAGGGGGAAGGAACAGTTTTATCGAAGATGATATAGCATTTAGAATTCAGTGCATAATTATACAACTTTGCAGAGTTACAAAATTACCAATTAATCTAAAGGGATGGAATGCAATACAAACAAAGCATACACAGTACGAAGAAACTGTGCCTGCACTTACCAATGGTATTGTTGCTGTACTTAGATTTGCCCAGAAGTTCAGCTTGTTTTGTGGTCAAGGTAGAGAGTTGTTTAAATTGTTGACAAATCTGCTGAAAAAACATCTCCAGCTCCTCTCTGTAATAGACATGCATTTTCTTTATTGTCATTTTTTTTCTTCAACATAAAATTTCCCCACGTAAGTCAAGTTGCACAAAACAGCCTTGTTCATGGACGGGATGGTCTGGCCTGGTCTGGGCCATGGACTTGGCTGTGACCACCCCAATACTGCTCTAGGATCAGCTGACAGAAGGTGTGCTTCTAGCAGAATAGATGGCTGCCAGTTTCTCACAGCGACTGAACCTGCGATCATCTGGTTAGGAGGCAGGCCATCAGGTGGTGAGAACTACATTATAAATCTGTGTTTTTATTTTTTGTGTACTTATATAATATACACATTCATTAAAGGAGTTTTGCATTACGCCTTTAGTCCATAGATACAAAAACATTTTCCCACTGCAATAACCGACCATGTTTTGGAACTGGGAATTAATTTTGTAGGAGGATGTTATATTTTGGAACTAATTCCTTAACACAGGAGTAGAATGTTTTATACCCAGTCTATATTGCCAAGTTTGTGTCCAATTTAATCTGGCATTTACAAGGATCTAGTACTAGGTTGGCACTGTAAACTAGACTGAATTACCACTTCGATCTCAAACCAGCATGGAAGAAAAATCACCCCTTCAGGGGTTGGGTTCATGCCAATCGGGATTCAGAGGTTCTGCAGAGCAAAAGTTGGCAAGGAAACAAACTGGCTTAACTATTCTGGCATTCTTTTCACTTACCTACAACATATATATTCCACATTCATCCTCAATCTGCTGATCTCCATTAATGAATGAATTAATGTGTTTCTCAACATCTTACTGCAACATCTACTTCAACTACATACATACACGCACACACACATAAACTAAGAAACTTAATCCAACAATGTATAATGAAGTTTGTTTGCAAACTTGTAATATAGAGGGACATTAGTTACCATAAAGGGCAAGCTGCTTTCAAATTCATCTCAACATATTTTCCCAAGCAAATCTATGTAAATGCCTGTAGTTTCATTCCATTTCAATTACAGCCATAAGCATAATTAATGATAAAAGGTTATTTGCTCATCAAGCCTGTTTTCTCTGCAACCGCATATAATTTGCTCTAACTTGTACTATATCCAATAACAATTGTCTGAAGATTGTTACCAATCACAAGAAAATCCATCAAGATTATGCAATGCAAACAATTCTCTTTGCCCCCACCCTGCAAAGATAATTAAATAAAACTGTAAGATACCAATTAAACCTCATAGTCATAACCAACACAATTCAACTAGTTTTCATGCATAAATAACACATTCAAAGCCCCTGCAGCAAAAGCAACAGATTTCTCAGAGTATTTGATTAGACTTCAGTTTATTTTTATCACTTTAGCTTTCAATCCTGTTCAAACAGATAGTTGTCCATATTTACATCTCTGAGCATGTGGAAAATCTGGATCACGTATCATGAATCATCTTCAGTGAAAAATAGTAGTTCGGTACTCTTCATAACTTCCAATTTTCAGAATTATCCATCTCCCTACTTTGAATTTCCTTTAATGCAATAATGTAATCTGAAACACAATCTCCATCCCACCTCCAACAGTCAAATGTGCCACATGGCAACACAATCTACTACAGACAAGTGTTGGCTTATTTGCCCCAATGACCATTAGACATTCAGTTGCCTACTACCGCACACAATTTTCTAAATGCAATTGCACCAACAAATTAAATATCTTCAAATCAAGCACCATTAAACAGCACTCCCAGCCCTTAATTGGTTGTGTTGATAACATCTTTACACCAACTGAACAATACATCTTCATTTAACTAGTGAGTGTGAGTGATTAATAAATAACTAAGACTGTATTATCATGGGCTGGGTGAGAGTCACGGATCCCCTTATCTTTGTGCTTAACTGGTGAAACCAGCCAAGATGGGGAGTAGGAGAAAAAAAATCACTGAATACAACCAACAGTGACCCGTTATTTTTGTCTTCGTGCCATGAGTGAGTGTGCAATTCTTGTGTGCTGGGATTCATTTACAACTTTAAAGAACACAGTCCCAGGTGAGAGAGAGCGAGATCGAGACTTAAAACGTACAACTAAAATTTGCTACATCTGATAAACAAAACTCAAATATTTGACATAAAGGTTTGACGCTATTGCATATGAAGAAAAATATTGATGTTGCAATATCACTAGAGGAGATTTGTGCTATGTAAGGAAAGGTTTGTTATAATGCACCCATTTTATTTTATTTAAAGGGGAAGGTGGAAGTTCATACTCGTTTGTGAGATGATCAGTCTTTGCTGAAGGACCAGCCTTCAATGAGAATGGATCAGCCATCTTCCTGTTCACCTTCAAAAATAAACACAAGAGATTTTACCCTTGAAATAAAACAGCAATGAGACCGACATTCATTTACTTTCACAAACAAAGCAGAGTAAGCCACCTGACAGCTGAGCAAACAGCTCACTCCAAAGGGACTAAATATTCCTATTAACATGATATAATACATGATTTACAAAGAATACAAAACTGTACATCAGAGCTGGAATTATCAAGTCTAAGACACTGAACGTTATAATTGATCGATTAGCTCCATCTGCTGACATTTTGCTATACTACAAGAACTTGTGGAGTCCTGTAGCTCAGTGGTTAGAGCACTCTCCTCCCAAGCGAGAGGTCCCAGGTTTGATTCCCGGTCAGGGTGAAACATTGGGCAAGTTTCCTTATGCCACACGCCTCTGTTTACCAGCAGTGAGCAGGAACCCGGTTGTTAGTCGTCTGGTGGATCACTTTTCTGGGGGTAATAATCCCATCAAAACAATTGTTTTTTAAAAAAATGATTTGGTCACTTAATCCACGACTGTTTGTGGGACGTTGCTGTGTGCAATTGGCTGCTGCGTTTCACCCACAAAATATACAGTCAATTCACTTTACAGTGTATCCTGTGAAGCGCTTTGAAACATCTCGAAGATGTGATAAGGCGCTGTAGCAAATGGAAGGATTATTATCGTAACAAAACTTGGATTTGGGTTGACTTGGAGATAATATACTGTGTCACAAGTTCCCACGCTGAAGGCGTTTGCTGGAAGTGTGAACTCACTTTCCTCATCACTATACCTTTACGTCCGGGTGATGACATTGCTGCTGGTCATGTCTGTAGAGCCCAACATCGAGCTGCTTCCTGAGCATTCTCAGTTCCTGCTCTTGCTGTTCAATGATGGATTTGAATTGCTTTTGCTCATCTTGAAACTTATTTATCCGTTCATTCAGCTGACTGTTTTCAGCTGTTAACTGTTGCAGAAAGTAGATCAAAATAAAAACGTTGATTGAAATGTAAAATAAATCATGAATTGTTCTATTTTTGTCTTTACAGGTACTAGATTGCTAGAGAGAGAATAGTCATTCCATTAAATACATTTCATATAAAATTTCTAACGGTCAAATATTTCTCTACATCTTTCACGTGAAGCATGAACATACGTTTTGCATCAATTGCACTGTTGTGTTTCTCATAAGTACTTTGCAAACAGCCTAAAATCAATGTGGAAGTGTTTTTATTTGGAGCACATTATAGTTGTTGGAAGGCCACTGAATATTTCCTTGCTAATGTCACACCTTCATTTGGAGGATTTAAAAGACAGCGATACTAATGATGAGCTATGTGGGTTTAGCTAGTTAGACTCCAGCAGTTACCCCAGTGCACACTCTGGGGTCCCCAAGCCTTGGCTTTTGCTGACTTGCACCTAATACTCTCCAGAATTGGGTAAGAGTGATGTGTCCCTCCAGGGAGAGAGAGCAAATTCCATTCCAACAATCTATCACAGGGATTTCCACGTGTAGGTGGGAGGCATGGAATTCTCAGATTGGGTTGGAGACTCTTAATGGGTTTCCGCATGTGTCAGACACCCGACTGGCTCCCCAAAAAAGGATTTTATGCCAGTTGTCTATAACTTATAAGTAAATCTAGAGCCAGTGGAGATTTAAAACGATGAGCTATTGTCTGAAAATCTGGAGGATATATTTACCCTTAGTTATTACTTTTTACACCAAAACAAATACAATTTGAAAAGCCCAATACTGGAATAGCAATTGGTATTAAAATTAAATGTTAGGCACAGTAAAAGAGAATAAATTAAGAGTAGTTAATCTCAACTATATTCACTATTAAATCTAATCTTACCTTACAGTCTCTCTCTCTTGTTAAAACTGCTGTTGGGTCCTCTGATAAATGAAATGCTGCTGGACGCTGGCTGTCACGTCTCCTGGGTTTAGGTAGGTCGTCCTTGGTGCCATGTGCTAAAGTGTCCAAAGCCTCACCTGTGCAGGAATATAGCCTGAAACTGTGATGGTGTTGCCCAACTGGTTGATTGGGCAATATAGAAGGGGCAGCATAGAGATGGACAGCACCCTACCCTAGACCATCATCTCCCCCCCCAGCCCACTGTGCCAGTTAACGACAGACTTCAAGTTGGTTTCAACCATCTCAGCACATTAAATTCCTCCCATGAAGGGTGCATTTTTCTTCCTTTCCCACAACAATCCTAAGAATAAAAGCAACTTGTGGCAACAACAACTCACAAATTTCCCCCACCCACCAGCAGGAAAATACCCCACTCCCCGTCAGCACTGGTTTAGTCCCAATCAGATACAGATTCTTTCTCTATTACTTATTACAGGAACAATAAACTGTCAACATTATTGTTCGAAAAGAGCATTATACGTAGAATAAAGAATTTGCAAACCTGCACTTGTAAAATCCCATCAATCTTAAAAATTACCTTGATTTTTACTGACGATAAAGAAAAATAGTATTAAAATCTAAACATAGAAATTGTAAGTTTTGTATTTGCCGAAAACATATTAAGAGTAGGTTTTTTTTTTAAAAAAGGGCAGAAAAATGTGAAATTCTTCTTTACATAGATGCAACTTTGTCAAAAGGCAGTGCATAGGATTAAAGATATTGATCCAAGAACTACTAATCCTGGCAGATGGTATCTCAGCTAAAGCAAATTTTATTTTCCTCGAAATGAGATATAATATGATAGTAGTAGCTCCATTCCATCTGCTTCCCAATTATGGGAACAAAAGTTGAACTGGGAAACTGTGCCAAAAGCTGCAAGGAACTTGAATGATGTCTGTCAGATCTGCGGTAAAACCAGGCTGTTATTTGGGGGGAGTTGGGGAAGCGATTGCCGAGGGAATCAAAACAAAGATGAGAAAATCAAAGGATAGACAAGGATATTAACAAGAAGATTCCTGAAATGAATTAAATTGAGAAATGCTATCAAACTAATTAAAGATCGGTTAAAAGTAAAAAGATTTTATCAAAAAGATCAACAAAACAAAATAATCTCACAGCCTAAAATGAGATTTTTTTAAATGGAAAGGAAAAGTTGGACATGGAAACTGACAGATATGCCAATGAGCAATCTTCACACATGACTCAAATACTAGAGAGGAAAAAAGATTAGGAGAGGAATAAACTAAATTTCGGCTCTTCCTGCCCCTATACTAGGTCAGAGCTTACCTCTAGGAATAGCGGAGGCACATTGCAAGTTTATAATCACATTACTTTTTACAGCCAGTTCTCGCTGCAGATCATCAATCTGTATTTCAAAAAGAAAGAAAATGTGAATATAATACTTTCTAAAACTATATAATGCTATATAATACTAATACAAGCCCAAGGTTTGGGTTAAATTCACAACAATTGATCACAAAATGCTGCAACTATGCTGAGCCTGATCTTTTCTAAGAAAGATTTTAATTCACAATCAGTTAGCTAATGACAGCTAAGGAACAACCTTACACCCCACAACAGCCCCCAACAGCCCCCCCCACCCCCCACAGCCCCCACCCCCACAGCCCCCACCCACACCAGCCCCACCCCCACCCCACAGCCCCCACCCCCACCCACACAGCCCCCACCCCACACACAGCCCCCCCACACACAGCCCCACCCCACACACAGCCCCCACCCCCACACCACACAGCCCCCACCCCCACACACAGCCCCCCACCGCCCCCCCACCCACCCACACACACAGCCCCCACCCCCACACAGCCCCCCCCCACACACAGCCCCCCACACACACAGCCCCCAACCCACACACACAGCCCCACTCCACACAGCCCACCCCACACCCACAGCCCCCACCCCACACCCACAGCCCCCACCCCACACCCACAGCCCCCACCCCACACACAGCCCTCACCCCCACACACACAGCCCCCACCTACACACACAGCCCCCACCCCCACACACCCCACACACAGCCCCCACCCCCACACACAGCCCCCCCACCCCCACACACACACACACACCCCCCCACACCCACAGCCCCCACCCCCACAGCCCCCACCCCCCACACAGCCCCCACACACAGCCCCCCCCCACACACGCCCCCCCCACCCCACACACACACACAGCCCCCCCACACACACACAGCCCCCACCCCACACACAGCCCCCACCCCACACACAGCCCCCACCCCACACACAGCCCCCACCCCCACAGCCCCCCACCCCCACACACAGCCCCCACCCCACACACACCCCCACACACCGCCCCACCACACACCCCCACCCCACACACAGCCCCCACCCCCACACACAGCCCCCCACACAGCCCCACCCCCACACCACAGCCACCCCCACCACAGCCCCCCCACCCCACACAGCCCCCACCACCTCACACAAGCCCCACCACAGCCCCCCACAGCCCCCCCCCACACCCCCCACCCCCACACCCCCACCCCCCACGCCCCCCCCACACAGCCCCACAGCCCCCCACACAGCCTCCACCCCACACACAGCCCCCACCCCCAGCACAGAGCCCCCCACCCCCAGCACAGCCCCCCACCCCCACCCCCCAACACAGAGAAAGAAGAGAGTCATTGATGCCATGTCCAATTTAATCTGGCATTTACAAGGATCTAGTACTAGGTTGGCACTGTAAACTAGACTGAATTACCACTTCGATCTCAAACCAGCATGGAAGAAAAATCACCCCTTCAGGGGTTGGGTTCATGCCAATCGGGATTCAGAGGTTCTGCAGAGCAAAAGTTGGCAAGGAAACAAACTGGCTTAACTATTCTGGCATTCTTTTCACTTACCTACAACATATATATTCCACATTCATCCTCAATCTGCTGATCTCCATTAATGAATGAATTAATGTGTTTCTCAACATCTTACTGCAACATCTACTTCAACTACATACATACACGCACACACACATAAACTAAGAAACTTAATCCAACAATGTATAATGAAGTTTGTTTGCAAACTTGTAATATAGAGGGACATTAGTTACCATAAAGGGCAAGCTGCTTTCAAATTCATCTCAACATATTTTCCCAAGCAAATCTATGTAAATGCCTGTAGTTTCATTCCATTTCAATTACAGCCATAAGCATAATTAATGATAAAAGGTTATTTGCTCATCAAGCCTGTTTTCTCTGCAACCGCATATAATTTGCTCTAACTTGTACTATATCCAATAACAATTGTCTGAAGATTGTTACCAATCACAAGAAAATCCATCAAGATTATGCAATGCAAACAATTCTCTTTGCCCCCACCCTGCAAAGATAATTAAATAAAACTGTAAGATACCAATTAAACCTCATAGTCATAACCAACACAATTCAACTAGTTTTCATGCATAAATAACACATTCAAAGCCCCTGCAGCAAAAGCAACAGATTTCTCAGAGTATTTGATTAGACTTCAGTTTATTTTTATCACTTTAGCTTTCAATCCTGTTCAAACAGATAGTTGTCCATATTTACATCTCTGAGCATGTGGAAAATCTGGATCACGTATCATGAATCATCTTCAGTGAAAAATAGTAGTTCGGTACTCTTCATAACTTCCAATTTTCAGAATTATCCATCTCCCTACTTTGAATTTCCTTTAATGCAATAATGTAATCTGAAACACAATCTCCATCCCACCTCCAACAGTCAAATGTGCCACATGGCAACACAATCTACTACAGACAAGTGTTGGCTTATTTGCCCCAATGACCATTAGACATTCAGTTGCCTACTACCGCACACAATTTTCTAAATGCAATTGCACCAACAAATTAAATATCTTCAAATCAAGCACCATTAAACAGCACTCCCAGCCCTTAATTGGTTGTGTTGATAACATCTTTACACCAACTGAACAATACATCTTCATTTAACTAGTGAGTGTGAGTGATTAATAAATAACTAAGACTGTATTATCATGGGCTGGGTGAGAGTCACGGATCCCCTTATCTTTGTGCTTAACTGGTGAAACCAGCCAAGATGGGGAGTAGGAGAAAAAAAATCACTGAATACAACCAACAGTGACCCGTTATTTTTGTCTTCGTGCCATGAGTGAGTGTGCAATTCTTGTGTGCTGGGATTCATTTACAACTTTAAAGAACACAGTCCCAGGTGAGAGAGAGCGAGATCGAGACTTAAAACGTACAACTAAAATTTGCTACATCTGATAAACAAAACTCAAATATTTGACATAAAGGTTTGACGCTATTGCATATGAAGAAAAATATTGATGTTGCAATATCACTAGAGGAGATTTGTGCTATGTAAGGAAAGGTTTGTTATAATGCACCCATTTTATTTTATTTAAAGGGGAAGGTGGAAGTTCATACTCGTTTGTGAGATGATCAGTCTTTGCTGAAGGACCAGCCTTCAATGAGAATGGATCAGCCATCTTCCTGTTCACCTTCAAAAATAAACACAAGAGATTTTACCCTTGAAATAAAACAGCAATGAGACCGACATTCATTTACTTTCACAAACAAAGCAGAGTAAGCCATCTGACAGCTGAGCAAACAGCTCACTCCAAAGGGACTAAATATTCCTATTAACATGATATAATACATGATTTACAAAGAATACAAAACTGTACATCAGAGCTGGAATTATCAAGTCTAAGACACTGAACGTTATAATTGATCGATTAGCTCCATCTGCTGACATTTTGCTATACTACAAGAACTTGTGGAGTCCTGTAGCTCAGTGGTTAGAGCACTCTCCTCCCAAGCGAGAGGTCCCAGGTTTGATTCCCGGTCAGGGTGAAACATTGGGCAAGTTTCCTTACTCCACACCCCTCTGTTTACCAGCAGTGAGCAGGAACCCGGTTGTTAGTCGTCTGGTGGATCACTTTTCTGGGGGTAATAATCCCATCAAAACAATTGTTTTTTAAAAAAATGATTTGGTCACTTAATCCACGACTGTTTGTGGGACGTTGCTGTGTGCAATTGGCTGCTGCGTTTCACCCACAAAATATACAGTCAATTCACTTTACAGTGTATCCTGTGAAGCGCTTTGAAACATCTCGAAGATGTGATAAGGCGCTGTAGCAAATGGAAGGATTATTATCGTAACAAAACTTGGATTTGGGTTGACTTGGAGATAATATACTGTGTCACAAGTTCCCACGCTGAAGGCGTTTGCTGGAAGTGTGAACTCACTTTCCTCATCACTATACCTTTACGTCCGGGTGATGACATTGCTGCTGGTCATGTCTGTAGAGCCCAACATCGAGCTGCTTCCTGAGCATTCTCAGTTCCTGCTCTTGCTGTTCAATGATGGATTTGAATTGCTTTTGCTCATCTTGAAACTTATTTATCCGTTCATTCAGCTGACTGTTTTCAGCTGTTAACTGTTGCAGAAAGTAGATCAAAATAAAAACGTTGATTGAAATGTAAAATAAATCATGAATTGTTCTATTTTTGTCTTTACAGGTACTAGATTGCTAGAGAGAGAATAGTCATTCCATTAAATATATTTCATATAAAATTTCTAACGGTCAAATATTTCTCTACATCTTTCACGTGAAGCATGAACATACGTTTTGCATCAATTGCACTGTTGTGTTTCTCATAAGTACTTTGCAAACAGCCTAAAATCAATGTGGAAGTGTTTTTATTTGGAGCACATTATAGTTGTTGGAAGGCCACTGAATATTTCCTTGCTAATGTCACACCTTCATTTGGAGGATTTAAAAGACAGCGATACTAATGATGAGCTATGTGGGTTTAGCTAGTTAGACTCCAGCAGTTACCCCAGTGCACACTCTGGGGTCCCCAAGCCTTGGCTTTTGCTGACTTGCACCTAATACTCTCCAGAATTGGGTAAGAGTGATGTGTCCCTCCAGGGAGAGAGAGCAAATTCCATTCCAACAATCTATCACAGGGATTTCCACGTGTAGGTGGGAGGCATGGAATTCTCAGATTGGGTTGGAGACTCTTAATGGGTTTCCGCATGTGTCAGACACCCGACTGGCTCCCCAAAAAAGGATTTTATGCCAGTTGTCTATAACTTATAAGTAAATCTAGAGCCAGTGGAGATTTAAAACGATGAGCTATTGTCTGAAAATCTGGAGGATATATTTACCTAGTTATTACTTTTTACACCAAAACAAATACAATTTGAAAAGCCCAATACTGGAATAGCAATTGGTATTAAAATTAAATGTTAGGCACAGTAAAAGAGAATAAATTAAGAGTAGTTAATCTCAACTATATTCACTATTAAATCTAATCTTACCTTACAGTCTCTCTCTCTTGTTAAAACTGCTGTTGGGTCCTCTGATAAATGAAATGCTGCTGGACGCTGGCTGTCACGTCTCCTGGGTTTAGGTAGGTCGTCCTTGGTGCCATGTGCTAAAGTGTCCAAAGCCTCACCTGTGCAGGAATATAGCCTGAAACTGTGATGGTGTTGCCCAACTGGTTGATTGGGCAATATAGAAGGGGCAGCATAGAGATGGACAGCACCCTACCCTAGACCATCATCTCCCCCCCCAGCCCACTGTGCCAGTTAACGACAGACTTCAAGTTGGTTTCAACCATCTCAGCACATTAAATTCCTCCCATGAAGGGTGCATTTTTCTTCCTTTCCCACAACAATCCTAAGAATAAAAGCAACTTGTGGCAACAACAACTCACAAATTTCCCCCACCCACCAGCAGGAAAATACCCCACTCCCCGTCAGCACTGGTTTAGTCCCAATCAGATACAGATTCTTTCTCTATTACTTATTACAGGAACAATAAACTGTCAACATTATTGTTCGAAAAGAGCATTATACGTAGAATAAAGAATTTGCAAACCTGCACTTGTAAAATCCCATCAATCTTAAAAATTACCTTGATTTTTACTGACGATAAAGAAAAATAGTATTAAAATCTAAACATAGAAATTGTAAGTTTTGTATTTGCCGAAAACATATTAAGAGTAGGTTTTTTTTTAAAAAAGGGCAGAAAAATGTGAAATTCTTCTTTACATAGATGCAACTTTGTCAAAAGGCAGTGCATAGGATTAAAGATATTGATCCAAGAACTACTAATCCTGGCAGATGGTATCTCAGCTAAAGCAAATTTTATTTTCCTCGAAATGAGATATAATATGATAGTAGTAGTCCATTCCATCTGCTTCCCAATTATGGGAACAAAAGTTGAACTGGGAAACTGTGCCAAAAGCTGCAAGGAACTTGAATGATGTCTGTCAGATCTGCGGTAAAACCAGGCTGTTATTTGGGGGGAGTTGGGGAAGCGATTGCCGAGGGAATCAAAACAAAGATGAGAAAATCAAAGGATAGACAAGGATATTAACAAGAAGATTCCTGAAATGAATTAAATTGAGAAATGCTATCAAACTAATTAAAGACGGTTAAAAGTAAAAAGATTTTATCAAAAAGATCAACAAAACAAAATAATCTCACAGCCTAAAATGAGATTTTTTTAAATGGAAAGGAAAAGTTGGACATGGAAACTGACAGATATGCCAATGAGCAATCTTCACACATGACTCAAATACTAGAGAGGAAAAAAGATTAGGAGAGGAATAAACTAAATTTCGCTCTTCCTGCCCCTATACTAGGTCAGAGCTTACCTCTAGGAATAGCGGAGGCACATTGCAAGTTTATAATCACATTACTTTTTACAGCCAGTTCTCGCTGCAGATCATCAATCTGTATTTCAAAAAGAAAGAAAATGTGAATATAATACTTTCTAAAACTATATAATGCTATATAATACTAATACAAGCCCAAGGTTTGGGTTAAATTCACAACAATTGATCACAAAATGCTGCAACTATGCTGAGCCTGATCTTTTCTAAGAAAGATTTTAATTCACAATCAGTTAGCTAATGACAGCTAAGGAACAACCTTA